TTGCCCTTGTTTCCCCCGTTTCGCGCACACCGCGCACTTCCTTCGACATCAGTTTCCTAGTTAGAAAGTCAGTTGGATGCTATGGCTTGGGTGGGGGTGGGAAAGCGGGAGGGGGGTAGCACGATGGGATCGTAAGTCGTAAGGACTTTTAGGTCATCTCGTGCTGTTGAGCGCATCGGTCAGGCAAGATTTCTCCACAGGTGGATGGTCTTCCACTATTTATTCGTTCTCATTCCTGGAAATGTTCATGATAGTAAAATTACTGTCGAACGGCTTCTCATAAGTCTCAGAAGCTTTTGCTCATTTAACTTTCATAAAAAACCACTACAGGAAAGAGCGAGCCCATCTTAAGTAGGGGAGGCGTATATTCATGCAAACAGAGACAACACTGGCGTGACAGGAAATCAGTCGATTACAATTAACTGTCCCTGTCACGTAGACGTACAAAACAAATTGGTATCATATCACCGCCCGGAGGTGGGGGGGGAGGATGAAAGCTTTTCGGCGGTGTGTGTCGAGCAATGTCACGGTAGTGCGGCTAAAAACTGCACCATTACCTTCGCCACTGTCACTGTCCTCCCAACTACGTCTACCTCCATTCAGGGCTTCATTCCATGTCCTTGTTTTACATTTTGTTGATGAACGTGTTTCATACAGTTGTAATTTTTCGGAAAGTGGGAAAATTTGAGGGGATGCGGTATTGTCGGCAAATTATATAGTCAGGGTCCGTCTGCGCAGCTTGTCACGAAGGTGTGAGGATAAGGAAAAACCAGAGAATAAAGCCCTGTCGCTCGATTTTGGGTGGAGGACGAGTTAACTGCAACCACCAATCAGGAAACGCTCTCCTTCTCTGCCACAAGGTCTAGGGCCTAAAAAGACAGACACCATTAGTTGGGGGGAGGGGCGTAAACCACAGCATAAGAGGCGGAACATCTACCATTATTAGCTAGTTGACTCGACACAATAACTTAGCGACAGTTCAAATGAATTACGGGAGCTTGCATCGTGGTAGGGCCGTAAAACCAACGATATGGGACGCAGGCTTCTGCGAAACAGGTGATTCGGAGCAAAAATGTCAGATCCTGTTCGCTGCAGATGACGCGCAGTGTCACTGAGGCAGGGTTTGGCGCGCAGCCAGCCCACTCTCCACCAGTTATCGAAGCGGAAAAGGACAACAGTTGGTGGGAAACGATGCGATGATGCGAACGATATGATACAGTGTTGTCGCTTGCCGAAGGATAAAAGGGAATGAAATGGTCTGTCAAACCCATCCACCTGACCCTATCATCTGCAGCATACAAGACAATATATTGAGTCAACTTAACAGAAATATTAGTTGGGAAGAGCGTCG